ACAATCTGAGATCAATAAGGAATGACAATCGTCAGAGAAGCACAGGACATGTGAGAATTCCTACAATAATGACAGTGAAACAAAACAAAATTCCACACTGGTGGAGTCATAGGATGCTGGAAACAGTCAGTTGTTATTTGGAAAACCGGTAAATAAAAGAAGTCATAAAAAGAAGAAATGCTTTCCATCGGTGCTGTGCCTGGAGCAATCAAATGGTGATTGGGAGGGGGGTGTCACTTTTCACTGGTATGCCAGTGGGAAAGTTGATGGAATGTCACCAGCTTCCAGCCTGGGTTTAACACAAGGATGCAGGAAATCACATGAAGGGGGACGACAAGGTGCTAAGACCCTCTCCTGGTGGCCTGTCAGTTTATAGATGCTCAGGAGGAGGAACAGTAGGGTAAATGACACCCAGGGAAGAGAGTGGCAAAGCCTAGGTTGAAAGAATTTCCACAGGACAAATGGCCTACTGTCTTCAGTCTTCAACAAATAAATTGTGTGTGTGTTTATGTGTGTGTGTGTGTGTGTGTGTGTGTGCGAAAGAGAGAGAGAAAGAGAGACAGAGAGACAGAGGGAGAAACAGAGACAGAGAGAGAGAAGAAACATATAGATTAAAAGAATTGAGGATGTAGCTCAGTGGTAGAGTGAGGCCCTGGGTTCGATCCACAGCAAAGCAAAAAGAAAGTCCAGACACCAAGAGACAAATTTGAGGACATTAAGTGAGCTAAATCAGACACAGAAAGACAGACCCTGCATCTTTATTGGGAAGCTAAAGAGCTGATCTCAAAGTAGTAGAGACTGGCTGAGAGGTTGCCACAGGCTAGGAGGGCTGTGGGAAGGAGTGCTGGAGCGGGGAGGCTACAGTTGAACAGGAGGAACTGTTGCTGTGTTCTGTAGCACAATAGGACAACTTTGGCTGCCAACAATGAATTAAACATTTCACAATAGCTGGTAGACAGGATTTTGAATGTTCACAACACAAAGAAATGCTAAGTGTCTAGGGGATGGATGTGCCAGTGATCCTTCAGTAATATGCAATTACTACCTGTCAATTAGGAATAAAAAATAATCCCCACGCTGTAAAATAAAAATGTGTTGAAATAAAAAGGCTAATCTGGGCTGAGGATAAAGTTCAGCACTTGCCTAGCATGCGTGAGGCCCCAGGTTCAAACCCAGCTCCACACACACACCCCCACACACGCACGCACACATACACACACGCAATAATAATAAAAAATTTTAAAAAGACAAATCAACCAATTTCAGTGTATGGAGTTTCTTGGAATTCTGATTCAGACAAACTGTACACACACACACATGCACACATGTATACATGCATGCATACACATATAATACACACATATGACAACTGGGGGAAGTCGAACACAGACTGGATATTTGATGATACTGTTATTAATTTTTAGGTGTGAAAGTGGTATTGTGTGTGTTTTTCTGGTGCACACGGTACTGGGGTTTGAACCCAGTGCCTCACGATTGCTGGGCACTTGTTCTATTACTTGAACCACGCCCTCAGCCCACGGTTATGTTTTCAATGGGGTTTTTATTTACAGAGCTACACACTGACGTTTGTGAATAAAATATTTATGAATTTGCTTCAGAATAATTTGGGGGGAGGAGGAGGTTGGCTGCGGGTTGTTAGTTGCTGGGTGATAGGTTGTGGGGTTTACTATATTGTTCTAACTTTGTGAATATTTGAAAATTTTTTTCATAATGCAAACCATTGAAAATAAAACTCATCTCTCAGATCAAGGAAATATGCCAAAATATTAATTTGTGGTACTATTTTAACTTTTCTGTGGGTTTGAAATTTTTCTAAATAACACATTAGGGGGAATATCGTGTCTTGTCCTGTCTGCCCTCAGCCCAGACCTCAGGCCCAGGGGCCATTCTAAGCCACCCTTTGGGACTGGAGTCTTCTGATCACAAACCATCAGACGGGCATCCCCCAAACCCACAAAGACAGAGCTAGGAATGAGGGCCACAGGCATGTGACCTTCCAAGTGTTGCTACACACCTGGCACCGCACATGTGCCTGCTCAGGTCTCACACAACCTGGGGGTTTGTCTCCCAATGTCACTGTCATTCTCCCCCTTCCTTCTTTTGCTCATTTAATGGGGAATGAGATGCTTAAAGGGACGTAGGCAGGTGTTAAAGAGCGAGTAATGACACAAATAAATATTCCCGTGTCTTGTTCAAAAGTATTCACCTGTGAGTTTAGAGCCTCTAGAGGGTGTGACAGGCCACCCAGCAGGGCTGTGATGGGGTTGGGGGGGACACTCCATCCGCATTCAGAATTACTCTGTGTGGAAAACGAGGCCAGGCAGAGACACTAGGATGTTAGGAAGAGCCAGAGACAGGTGGGAAGGTAGGGAGAAAAATGGTGCTGTGAGAGGGACAGAGAGGGTGGGATGGCCTTTAAAACTGACACTTTAGCTAGTCTCAAAAAATAACAAGGAACTCACCAGTCATGGGAAAAGGGTGGGGAAGAGCTGTTCCATGCCGAAAGGAATAGCAAGTACAAAAGTAAGGCAGGACAGGAGATGATGATTCATCCTGCTGGAGGAATTTTCACAAGGTTAATTTTATTGTTTTGTTTCTTCCTAAGAATTAAAAGAATACCATTTGGAATGATATACACCCTTACTAAGTTACAGAGTGGAAGCCCTGAAGGCTGGTAGGCCTCCTACAGGAAAGCCAACAGGGCCTTCTGGGCTGATCTGGAAATAAGAGATGGGTATGGTTCGGCCTGGACGAGGGACTGCTCTGTTGAGGATGGGCAAGCTTCTGCCTGGTCAGAGTCCCCTGACTCCTCAGTCTTCCCAACACTGGTCCCTCAGGTGTAGGCTCCAGGCTCCCCAGGGAAAGAAGGAGAGGCTGCAGGAGGAAGAGGACAAAACCTCAGGCATTTTGGCCACTCAGGGCCACAGACACAGGCAGCAGCAGTGCTAGCCAACTGCTCTCTGGTACCCAGCTCCCACCCATCTTGGGGGCCAGGCCTTCCCAGAAGTCAGGTCTTGGAGAGTGACCAGTGCGTGCCTTCTGCCTGCTCTGACTCCATCCAGACACTGGCCACCAACCAGATGCTCATGTCATGGGCTTGTGAATAGGCCACTTGGGTTAAAACTCAGTCTGCCTTTTATTGGTGTAAGGTACGCTTCAGTTCCTCAGCCATAAAATGGGATGATAGTGTCCATTCGGTAAGGTGGCTTGGGGAAAAAAATGAGATAATCCACTCAAAGTACTTGGGTGGGAGTTCATTAATTCTTAGCTGTTTTCATTATGTCACTTTTCAAGGGCCATCTCAAATACTTCCTCCATCAGGAAGTCTTCCTGAACTGCACCCTGTGGATTAATGACAGAGATGTTCTCTCTCCTCTTATTCCTGGAAAACTAGTCATGAAACCTCTCAGGCTTTTCTGGCTTTTTGCTTTGGGGTGGAGATGTCTGGGACCCCACTAAGTCTAAAGAGGCTATAAATCCAAAAGGCCCAAAAGGCAAAGAGAAGCCACAGACATTTCCCATGGGTCTGAAATATAACCTTTTTGGATATGTTTAACATGTATCTTTTTCTTTTTTCTTAATTGTTTATTTCTTTTTTGGCAGCCCTGGGGTTTGAACTCAGGGCCTGATGTGGCTAGGCAAGTGCTCTAACACTTGAGCCACCCCTCCAGCTCTGCACTAGATGTTTATAGCCATTAATTCCCCAGTCCCTTGCCTCCTTGCCCCACCCCCCATCAGTACTGGGAATTGAATTCACGGCTTGTTGGCCAGTGGTCAGGCCTCCAGACCTTTGCTTTCAGTGTTCATTGTTTTGTTTTGTTTTTTGGCAGCACTAGGGCTTTCTAGGCAGGCACTTTACCACTTGAGCCACTCCGCCAGCCCTTTTTTGTGTTGGGTATTTTTGAGATAGGGTCTCACAAAGTATTTGCCCTGGTAGGCTTCAAACCACAATCCTCCTGATGTCTGCCTCCTGAGTAGACAGGATTACAAGTGTGAGCCACTTATGCCCAGCTAGTTTGCTTTTTAAAATAGCACCTCCTGCCACTTTTTGCCAGGCTGTCTTCCAACAGATCCTCTGCTCCACCTCTGGAGTAGCTGGGATTACAGGGGTGTCCCATTATACCCCCCACCCCCCAACCCCAGGCTTCCAACACTGCAGAGGGCCACACTTCACCCATTCACTCTTCCAGTGATGGACACTGGCAACCACAAAACAACACAGCAATGAACATCCTTCCACTTGTCCCTTTGTGGGCCTCAAAGAGCATGTGGGGGTCTAGAAGCAAGAGCTGGATTTGAGTCATAGTTCACTGTGGTGACTTTCCCTTCTTGTCACAGATCTCCAAATGACAGCCTCAGGCTACTCCCTCCAGCAGTGGTGATTTGGGGAGGGAGGGAGGGAGGGAGCTCTCCAGCCTCCTCTCACACTGGCATGGTCCAGCTTTCTAATTTTTTGTTGTTGTGCTTTGCAGTACTGGGGCTTGAACTCAGGCCTTCACCTTGAGCCACTCCACCAGCCTTAGTTTTGTGATAGGTTTTTTTCAAGCTAGGGTCTCATGAACTATTTGACCAGCTGGCTTCAAACCTCAATCCTCCTGATCTCTGCCTCCTCAGTAGCTTGGAATACAGGCGTGAGAGCCCGGCCAGCTTTCTAATTTTTGCCTGAGCAGCTGGTGTAGGTGACACCTCATTGTCACTTAGCCAGCACCTTTCTAATCATCAGTGAATGTGACACCTCCCATCCTTGCTCCCGGGTTTGCCAGACCACGGCCCCTGGGGTCAGGGTGAGAGTGGCTGTCGGAGGCTCCCGGGGGACACGCGGGTCCGTCGGTCTCGGCGGGAGGGAGCAGGAGGGGGACGAGCTGCAGATCCCCGGATCTGCGAAGACCGCAGTCCTCTCGGGCGCGTCCCCGACGTCCGCGCCCCCGCCCCGCCGGGCACGCGCCTCCCTCGCGCCGGGCCGCGCGCGCGCCGTCGGGATGGAGGAGGACCCGGCGTACGACACCCACGGCCGTGAGTCGTGGGCCGCCGACCGGCCAAAGCCGAGTGATCCCGGGGGTGAGGGTGGAGGGTCCCCATGGCATCCCGGCCCTGAGCTGCGTGTGGCTCCGAGCGCACCCGGGGACATCGGCCGCGGTCGCGGAGTGGGGGTCTCGGGGCGCGCAGACCTCGGCGGGGAGAAGAGGGGCGACCACCTCGCCGAGCGCAGGCTCGTGTGCGGGGCCTTGAGGCATCACTTGGCTTCTGCGCGGCCACGCGATGGGATCTCGTGGCATCTCCATTCTGCAGATGAGAAAGTTGAGGCGCAGGTGGTTAAGTGGGTTGCGGAGGTCCCAGGGCCGTAAAGTGGAAGAGATGCTGAAGACCCCCCCCTCCCCTCAAATGTCGGGGATGGGCCACATCAAATGGAGAACAGGAAACCTGGAGAGGAGGAGCGGTGGCCAGCCCCAGAGCCTCTCTCAGAGTGCCCCAGTGCCAGGGTGCCCCGGGAGGGGGGAGGGAAGGCAGGGTCTGTGTGGGCATCCGCTAGCCTAGGGAGCTTTCACTGCCCTGCCTGGGAGCGGGGGAGGAGAAGCATTTTATCCTCGACTTCCTTGGAAGAAGAATGGTAGTGATAATGGTAGTGGTGGTGGTGCTGCTTTGGGCTCTGTGAACCAGACACTCGCTACAGGGACTTCTTTTCTGTTTTTAAGGGGATATGTGTGTGTGCTTGCGCGTGGGGGGGGCGGGTCATGCTTGCTAGGCAAAGCACTTTACAACTTGAGCTTTGTCCCCAGACCTTTTATATTTTGTTTTTAGATAAGGTCTTCCTTCTTTTGTCTGGGTTGGTCTCAGATCCTCCTGCCTTCCAATTAGCTGGGATTGTAGAGCTGCACCACCATGCCTGGCTAGGCGTGCTTTGTTTCTAATCACTGTAATAACTGTGCAGGGATGTTCACATTCCCATTTTGCAAATGAGGAAAGAGAGGCACCAGATAATTAAGTGACCTGAGTCACACAGCCAGGGCCATGTGTTGGATCCAGGGCCATGTGGTTGCCCAGGGGCAGCAGCTCTGAGGTCCAAAGGTCATATCCATGAGGCACCAGAGAGTGGCTTCTCTGTCTGCAAGCAGTGTGGGATTGCTCTGGAAAAACAAACCACATGGCCACTTGTCACTTCAACGCATCCTAGCCTCCCCTGCCGAGGGAATGGCCACCTGTCCCTAGATCTACAAGGGGCTGAGTGCAGACACTCACTCGTACCAAACATTTCGGATGTGGGTGTGGAGCGATAAACACTCAGGATTATTTGCCCTATAATGACTGTGCAGAGGGCCTGCAAGTATTTGTCCTCTGTGCTGGGGTGTCTGAGCACTTCTGGAGGAGGACAGGCATCCATTAAGCTGGGAATAGACTGATGGTGTCACTCACAGCAGCAGTTTTGTGGATATCCCCTGTGCCTGAGAGCTGTGGTGAATGAGACTGAGCAGAGCAGATGCAGAGGGGGCCCTAAGGAGCCATGGTCAAACCAAGGAGACCAGACTGCCTCGCAGTTGACCACAAGACAGGGGTCTTGGGGGACGAACCCAGACCATTATCAGCAGGTCTGGGTCTTCCTGGCTCAGATGCCAACCCACAGCGTGGCCTGAGCCCATAGCTGCCTGTGATCAGGGTTTGGCAGGGGCAGCTCTGAGATGGTGGGGAGGGGAGGAGGGGGAGACCACATGGAAAAGGGAGACCACAGGGATGGCAATGCAAGGTGGGCCTCTGTGTGGAGGAGCAGGAGTTAGGACTGGAGTGGGGACAGAAAAAGAAGAGGTGGAGGAAGGCTGGATGCCGATGGCTCAAGCCTGTAATTCTAGCTACTCAGGAGGCAGAGATCAGGAGGATCACAATTCAAGGCCAGCCTGGGCAAATAGTTGAGTTATCTTGAAAAAACTCAACACAAAAAACAGGACTGGCCAAGTTGCTCAAGTGGTAAGTGTTAGGCCTTGAATTCAAACCCCAGTACCTGCCAAAAAAAAAAAAAAAAAAAAAAAGAGGTGGAGAAAGGAGGAGTTGGAAGGTTAGAAGTGGAGAGACACACCTCTGGCCCCGAGGAATTGCGGAATTGACCTGCAGTCAATCCTGGTTGCTTTCTACACTGGGCAGGGTGTGAAGAAGGTGGTTTCTGACTCTTCCATCCCCTCCCCCAAGAGAAGCTCTTGAATAGTGTGGGGGAGCCTTCCCTCACCCCACACCCCCTCTCCCCCACCCAGTGCTCCCCCTGGAGAGGCAGCTCCACCAGGCTGCCCGACAGAACCACATCGGAAGGATGAAGGAGCTGATCCAGAAGGTTGACATCAGGGCCAGAAACCACGTACGTACTGCGTTCCACCACATAGGCTGATCATTGAGCTGGAGCCAGGTGTGTGTGTGTTAACTTGGAGGGAGGCCCAGGCTCTGCTTTCACCATCTGCATGAGGTCTCTGAGACTTTGAGTGATTGGGGCCCGGCCCAAGGTCAGGGTCAGGATTCCAAGCCAGGCTTGGCAATTCCAGGGCTCAAACTCTGAACTGACGTGGTCCATCTGAAAGGCACCTCTCAGGGACAAAGGCTAGAGCCAGGAGGGCAGGAGGTCCATGGTCAGCAGTCACAGGCTAGCTGATGGGCAGCAGAGGGAAGGCCCTGAAGGGACAAAGGTGGAATGGTGCCTGTGGGCATAAGTCCAGGGATTCTGGACCAAGATAGGCCAGAACCTAGAGACCATGGGGGTGTGAGGCGATGACTTGATTCAGCTCTCAGAGCATCTGCTGCCACCCCTCCACTCTCTTCCCTGCACCCCCATGTGTGGAAAGCTGTGGTACACCCAGGCCCATCCTGGAGCTCAAAGGTGGGGCAGCCCCAGCTTGTTGACCAGGCCTAAGGGAAGGCTGCAGGTGTTGGGGGAGTCCTAAGTCCTGCTGGGGAAAAGGACAGAGGGCGAAGCCACAGGCCTGGGTACCACATAGGTGCCCCTTCCATTTCCCACTGGATCTTCTGGTTGTCAGGGGCTTCTTGGAGGAGATACCAGGACCTGGCTGGAAAGGGCTGGATGTGGGATTCCCTGCACTGTCTGTGGTGACACCAGAAGGGAGGGGCCCAGGCTTTCAGAGCCTGCCTAGGGAGCAGTAACAGGAACAGAAGTTCTGGGGTGTGTCTGCTATTTTCTGGTTTTCAGAGCACCTGTTTCCCAGTGTCTTCCCCAGAGAGGTGAACAGGGTAGGAAGAATTAGGCCTGTGTCATGTGGCATATGGTGACTGAAGCCTTGGTCTCAGTCCCTAGACAAGCAGCTGCAAGGAGGCATGACCTTGCAGGATGACAGGACACAAGTGCTGTTCTTCATTGTCTACTGGCACACTCATTGTCTCATTTATCTACCCACTAAGCATTTATTATGCACATACTCTGTGCTCGCTGCTGGGGACAGAGCAGAACCTGGAACAGATATGGTCCCTGACTCTCGTGGAGCTGAGAGTCTGGTGGGAAAGGACAGACATTGAGCTGAGTATTCCATCTTTACTCTGATGGGCTGTCCTGGGAACATGGGGAGAGGAGTCAGGGGTTTATCCCACCCAGAGGGGTCCGGGAAAGCTTCCAAGGAGCCAGGTGACAGGCAGAGTTCCAGGCAGAGGGAACAGCATGGACAAAAGCCCTGAGCAAGGAAGGAGCTGATCCCCAGAGAAGGGACGCAGCTTACCGGAGATCACAAGAGTCAGTGTTCCTTTCATTGCTCCTCATAAGCTGGAGATTGTGGAGGCCAGAACAGGGTGCAGGTGGCAGCCCACGTTCCCAGCCTGTGCAGGTGTCCTGTGGACTAGAGACCAGTATGAACTGCTGGGGAGCTGGACCATCAGCTCTGTTTAGAGGGAGGAACCCAGGTACTCAAAGACTGGAACAACCCTAGGTCACACGTGGCTAGCTAGCAAGAGCAAAGCCTTAGAGCTGGGCAGCCATTCGGCATTTCTGGAAAGGAGAAGTCGTGAAGAGCTTCAGGTGGTCCTGGTCAATGTGTCTCACTATGTTTGTTTCAGGTCAGGGAGAAGGGGGCCAGAGTGGGACTGGGTCCTCAGCCAGCTGGTCACCAGAACCAGCAATGGCTCCTTCTGATGAGGAGGGTATGGGAGGCGGGCCAGGCAGTCAGGTGATGGTGGCGACAAATTTCCTCTGCCCTGCAGGTGGGCAGGGTGGCCCTGCACTGGGCTGCAGGTGCTGGGCACGAGCAGGCTGTGCGGCTGCTGCTGGAACACGGCGCAGCTGTGGATGATGTGGACATGGTAGGCACCTCAGGGAGGCGTGTCTGTCTATGTGTGTGTGTCTGTCTGTCTGTCAAGAAGGGCAGAGCATCAAGATCTCTCAGGTCTGTGAGCCAGTTATCATTGCTGAGATTGTCACTGACACACAGGAACAGGCTGGGTGGGCATCAGTCTTCAAGGACAGTGTCACTGCATTGATTCCATTCTCCCTCTGTGTTATCAAGTGCCCGACAGGCTGGGAACCTTTCCAGTCTCTCATGGTACCACGTGAACAAGAAGAGCTGTAGGCTGTAGAACAGATCATTGGTTGGATTGATAAGGGCCTGGTTAATAAAGTCATCAGGAGGAAGCTCAGTCATGAGAGCCCTCAAAGCTCTGTCCTGGCTCACACCGTAATAGACATCTTGTAAAGAGAGTCTTACTGAACACATCAGCAGGCAGCATGTTGCCGAGAGACAGCACTGCAGACTAGCAGGGTCTGCAAGATCGGCTCTATAGGTTTGGAAAAAAGTCTTTTTTTTTTTTTTTCTTGGTGCACTGTTCCTGAAGTTACTGCAATACAGGTCGATGTGTGGAGTGGACGGAGCAAGCTCCTATTCCATCTCCCTCTTCCAAAAATCCATTTACTATATTGTCCTCAGATAGAGGACGTATCAGATATTAAACTGATAAGAACAGATACTACACTTGATCTTAGCCAAAAGGCCGAGAAGCGATAAGTCTGTGTCTTAATTTAAGAATCTAAGCCAGGTGAAGCCAGCTGCCGGTGGCTCATGCCTGTAATCCCAGCTACTCAGGAGGCAGAGATCAGGAGGATCAAGGTTCAAAGCCAGCCTGGGCAAATAGTCTGTGAGACCCTATCTTGCAAAAAACCCAACACACAAAAAGGCTGGTGGAGTGGCTCAAGGTGTAGGCCCTCTAAGCCAGGTGAGGTGGTACATTGCTGAAATCCTAGCATTTAGGAGGTGGAGGAGGATTGTGAGTTCAAGGCCAACCTGGGCTATGTAGCACAACCTTATGTCAAAAAGCAAAACAAAACAAACAAGAATCCAAATTTAGGGCAGGAGTAGAGAGGGAGTAAATAAGTCAGTGGTACAGAACCTGCCTAGCTTAGCCTGCCTGGAACACTGGAGTTCTATCCCCAGCACTAGAAGGAAAGAAAGAAAGGAAGGAAGGAAGGAAAGAAAAAAACAGCTAAATTTAAATTTTTAAAAAATTAACTGCCCTGCAGAGACTCAGCTGTCTGTAGAAATGTTCGTGGTTGTTTTGGCTTCTCTGCCCACTGTCCCCACCATGAGGGGGCTTGAATACTGGTTGGGGTGGGGTGGGTGACAATACCTCTTCTCACCATTGGCCCCATGTCCAAGAAAAGAACCAAGTGCTGCAGGGACAGTGGCTGCCCTCGGCTGCAAAACTCACAAGGACCAGGATCCCTGGAGGTGACCTTGGAGCACTTAACATAAGCTAAGGAAGAGCATCTGGCAGATGGGTGCCTGTGCCCAGCTGCTCCAGAATGCCCATGGGGTAGAAAGACAAGGGTGCAGTTGGCAGTGCTGCTGAGCACAGCAGCCAGCAGAACAGTGTGTGACCTGCCCTGCTGGCTTGGAGGAGGGCAGTGCCAACCTCATGGAGGATCTGGGGAGAGTTCAGCAGTAACTCTCAGGTGCTGTCCAGGGTGAGGTCTTCGTAGTCCTGAATCAGGAAGTCAGTTGACCATGTGAGCTTTTCATGAAGTTGTATTTAAAAAGGTGAGATTTTGAGATTGCTTCCTTCCAATTTTTCTTTTTCCATACTGGGGCTTGAACTCAGAGCCTTAACCTTGAGCCACTCTGCCAGCCCTTTTTGTGATGGGTATTTTTAAGATAGGGTCTTGTGGACTATTTGCCTGGGCTGGCTTTGAACTGTAATCCTCCTGACCTCTGCCTCCTGAGTAGCTGGGATTACAGTCATGAGCCACCGGCGCCCTTCCAATTTTTTTGTTTTGAAGTGGTCCTACTTTGGGCTGGTGGAGTGGCTCAAGTGGTAGAGTGCCTGTCTAGCAAGAGTGAGGCCCTGAGTTCAAACCACCATACCACCTAAAAAAACCCTTGTTTAAAGTGGTCCTACTTAATGTTAATGAAGTGTGATGGGAGTAGATAGCGGCTGTTTATCTTTAGGTTTCATTTACAAAAAAAAAGTTGTGGAAGTCTTACAGTTATGCATTAGCCTGTGCTTTAGAAAGCAATAGAACTTCCTGGTCTTTAAATTCCTAAAGTTTGGTGGGGCTGGGTGGCACTTACAGTCCCGTGAGGTGGCATGGTTTGGCCATGTGGACGCAGGGCCCGGTGGCATGGCCACGCCTCCGCAGTCTCTCCTCTCCTCCCTGTCCTCTCCCCCAGTTTGGGATGAATGCGCTTCTCCTGTCTGCCTGGTTTGGCCACTTGCAGGCCCTCCAGATCCTGGTCAGCTCCAGGGCTAAGATCCACTGTGAGAACAAGGTAAGGCCTCAGCTGGAGCTGGCCCCTGCCTCCAGTGTATGGGCTTGCTCCCACCTCTGCCCCCCGTCTTTCCCCACAGGTGCACAGGTCCGTTCCTACCTCTGCGCCCCACCCTGCTCCCAGGTGGACGAGTCTGCTCCCACCTCTGCACCCCCCCTTCCCTCAGGCACATGGGTTTGCTCTCACCTTTGCCCCGCCCTCCATACCTGTCCCAGCTTGCCACAGCCCTCTGAGAACCCTGCAGAAGCTCCTGTTGAGCTGAACCCTGTGACGTCCCCACTTGAGCTGCTTGTCAGGGGCTGAGAAGGACCTAGGGGCAGTGTGTTCCCCAGCAGCTACAGCTTCCCTCTTGTGGTCACCCCCTCCCTTCACTACTTTGTGGTATTGGGACAGTGCCCAGCCCTTTGGCCAGTCAGCCTCCTTATTTACAGAGAAATCCATTTTACCCAGAGGGTAGTTAGGAAAATGAAGTGTGGTGGGGTGGAAGATGCAGGACCCGTGTATCAACCCAGAGATCTGGGTGAGTGACTCTAGTGCCATAAGACTTACGTGTTTCCATTCGGAAATGGGGACACTCTGACCCACCTTGGAGCAGTGGGAGAAGCAAGGGTAGTACTGGGAACCTGGTGTGTGTGATAGGGAGGAGGGCCCGGCAAGCCGGAGTGTCTGCAGTCTTTCCACTGCCTCTCACCTTTTCGGTATCAGTGGCCCTTGATAAAATGGGAGTGTTTCCAGGTCACATCCCTTCCACAAGGAGTTCTCAACCTGGGTCCTTGGAGAGAATTCAGGAGACTTATGAACTTGAATCTAAAAGCATGCATATTTATTTTAACTAATTTATGCCTGAACATTTGCAACTCTTTCAATGATAAGTGTAAGAAGTATTAGTACCTGTGATTTTGTCACCAATAGAAAATGTAGCCATTTTCCTATCACATTGAAGTTTTTGCAGTTATCTTAAAAATTCTCTTTGTGTGGGGCAAAGTGGCTCACATCTGTAATCCCAGCTTCTCGGGAAGTGGAGATTGAGAGGATCTTAGTTGAGGCCAGTGCAGGTAAAAAGCTATAGAGATCCCATCTCAAGTCGGGTGTAGTGATGTGCATCTGTAATCCTGGCTATGAAGGAGGAAGAAGTAGGAGGATTAAGGTCTAAGAAAAAGAGAGAGCCTATCAGAAAAATAACCTAGCTGGGTGCTGGTGACTCACGCCTGTAAGCCTAGTCACTCAGGAGGCAGAGATCAGTAGGATGGCGGTCCAAAGCCAGCCTGGGCAAATAGTTCTTGAGACCCTATCTCAAAAAAACCCATCACAAAAAAAGGGCTGGTGGTGTGGCTCAAGGTGTAGGCCCTGAGTTCAAGCCCTAGTGCCACCAAAGGAAAAAAAAAACCAAAAAACCAAAAACAAAACCTAAAGCAAAAAAAGAAAGGGTCAGGGGCTGGAGATATGGCTCAAGTGGTAGAGCGCCTGCCTAGCAAGTTCAAGGCCCTGAGTTCAAACCCCAATACTGCCCCCACAATCTCTTAATATTCATTATTGCTTTGAAATTATAGTAATAGAGCTTTCATTAAACAGTGTTGTTTAACGGTTCAGTACAGAAGCACGTAAATTACTAGATTGAAAACTTGGTTCTCAACATTTGATAACTCCATTTCAATAAAACAGGTTTCTTTTTATGGTAGGCAGACTAATGCCACCTTCCCTACAAAGATGTCTGGATTCTAATCCCAGTCCTGTGAATGCCAGAGCCTAACATGGCAGAAGGAATTTTATGAATAAGATTAAAGACCTTGAGGTATGGCCCTTATCCTGAGGTGCCCATGTGGAACCCGTAGTTCTTACAGGTGAACAGGGAGGAGTGGGAGAGGCAGAGGGGAAGGCATGAGGAAGGAAGCCAAAGTTGGAGTGAGCAAGGAATTGGAGCAGCCTAGAACAGCTTTTGGAAAAGGCCAGGAAACTGATTCTCCCCAGAGCCTCCAGAAGAAACGTGGCTCTGCCCCCATGTTACACTTCTGGCCTCCATGACTGTAAGAGAATAAAGCTGGCCAGGCATGGTAACATACCTGTAAGCCCAGCACTCAGGAGGCAGAGGCAGGAGGACTGCAGGTTCAACATCAGCCTGGCTACATAGTGTGAAACCATCTCCAAAAACAAATAAGCAAACAAAAACTCAAAACAGCACCCCCAATAAAAAAGGGGGGAAAGTGCTGTTCTATGGCACTGTTTCCAGTAATTTGTTATAGCAGCAATGAGAAACTTAGCACATCATTGTGTCTGTGTATTTGATTTAAAAATTTCTCATCTATTTATTGTATGTATTTTTTTTTATTTAGAGAATACTTTATTAGTTTCTGTAATCAAACCCATGTAGATAAGACCTTACATATTTAATACAGTGCATTACCCCTGTACAAATGGAAAAAAAAATTAAGTTTAACGTTTCTAGACCAATATGGCTATTAATTTCTGTACAATGCCAACTCAACACAGTAAACCGGGATACTTTTTTCCAAAGTTGACAGCACAGCTAAAGTTTCCAAAAACTCAAATTATATATATATATGTGTTATATATATATATATATATATATATATTATTGTATGTATTTAAGCAAGTATTGTTCCGAGAAGAGGCCACAGGCTTTGCCAGATGTCAAAAAAAGGCCATGGCATGAAGAGGTTTGGCTTATGTCATCATTAGAATCTTGTTGGCAGTGGTGACAACTCCTGGGGGAAGACACCCCTGTGTTATGGGTCATAGAACCCAAACCTGAGCGGGGGAATGCCGAATCTTAGGAGGGCACCCTGAGAAGACACCAGCATCCAAGCTCAGGGTCCTCCTGTCTTGATCTGCCTGGCCTGGCTTGGCTTGACAGGGCTCAGGGGTTCTGGGAAATCCTGTAGCTGTCTTGATAGATTTGCCATAAACAGAGATGGATGAACTTTAGTGTTCTAGAATGGGGCTGGGGCTTGGGGTATATGGAGAGTGAGGTTTTAACCACTGGACTCTGTAGTGTTCTGATTTTGGCAATAAATCACTCTAAAACTAGCCGGGCACTGGTGGCTCACACCTGTAATCTTAGCTACTCAGGAGGCAGAGATAGGAGGATCATGGTTTGAAGCCAGCTCGGGCAAGTAGTTTGCAAGACCCTATCTTGAAAAAAACCTTCTCAAAAAAGAGCTGCCAGATTGGCTCGAGGTGTAGGCCCTGAGTTCAAACCCCAGTACCGCAAAAAAAAAAAAAAAAAAAAAAAAAAACTCTAAAACTTAAGGTCTTTATTATTATTTTTTTTCCCACTACTCGGGCTTGAACTCAGGGCCTATACCTCAAAGCACTCCACCATCCTTTTTTGTGAGGGTTTTTTCGAGATAGAGTCTCTCGAACTGTTTGTCCTGGCTGGCTTCGAACCATGATCCTCCTGATCTCCCTGCTTTGAGTAGCTAGGATTATAGGTATGAGTCACTGATGCTTTTTATTTATTTATTTATTTATTTTTTTGACAGCACTGGGGTTTGAACTGAGGGCCTCACACTTAATAGACAGGTGTTCTTATTGCTTGACAATTTTTTTTTTTTTTTGCTGGCACTGGGAATTAAACCCACAACCTCAAGTGTGCTAGAAAAGTTCCATGCCAGTGAGCAACACCCCCAGCCCCTTTTATTTATTTTCATTTTATTTTGAGAAGTGGTCTCTGTAAATTTCCCAGGCTAGTCTAGAACTTGTGATCCCACTGCCTCAGCCTCCCCGGAAGCTGAGATAACAGGTGTGTGCCACCACTCCCTGCCACCTCAACACTTTTGAAGAGTGGTAGTCAAGAATTTGGTAGAATGGACTTTGATTTGAGTTTGTCTGATGTTTTCTTCATGAATAATGTGAGGTTATAGAATTCAGGAAGAACACCACAGAGCCAAGCCTTTCTCGTCCCCTCACATAGGGGCTGAAGGTACCAACATGACCTGTCACTGCTGATGTTGACCTTGATCACTTGGTTAAGGCCGTGTCTGTCAGCTTTCTCCACTATAAAGTCAACATTCTTTCCAAACCCTGTTTTTAGGAACTCTTCGGGGTTTTAATTTGCATTTAATTAATGTGTAACAATGTAAGATATTTTTCCATGTACAAACTTCTCATCCCTGTATTTTCTTTGGTGTCTAAATTAACTACTTCTACCACCTATTATCATTGTCATCGTCATCATCATTATTATTATTATTTTGCAAAGGCTAATCCAACTTTTCCAATTGATCGATGGATTGATTTAGATGGTTACTGTGTTGCCTAGGCTGGCCTTGAACTCCTGGGTTCAAGTGATCCTTCTACCTGAGCCTTCTGAGTAGAAGGGACCATAGGTGCAGGCCACCACACCTGGCTTTCTTCCAAAAAAAAATTTTTTTTTTGGTACTGAGCTTTTTTTTCTTTATTGTTGTGCTAGGTACTTTGTGGCATTTACAAATGTATATCTTCCAAATTATTTTTTAATTGGGTTATTGAATTTCTCGCTGATGAGTTTTTTAGAGTTCTGCATATATTTTGGATGCATTTCATAGTAAATTATAGACATCAACATACTTCCTTCTAAATACTTCAGCTCGCACAGCATTAACCAGAATTCATTCTCTTTACATACACTCAAATACACAAATCTAAAGTTTATACTCATTGAAATTTGATCACTATAGCCATTGTTCTGTAGATATTTTTGTATGCATGTGTTCTGGTTAGTTTTTGAGTCTCTGTTTTTGCCCACACTAGCCTGGACTGCAATCCCATTGCACACTTCCTTCTGTAGCTGGGATGACACATGGGCACCACCATGTCCAGTTTTTTCTGTTGAGATGGGATTTTGAGCACTTTTTTGCTCAGGCTGGTTAGAATTGTGATCCTCCCTATCTCAGACTCCCTCATAGCTGGTATAACATCTGTGCAACACTGTGTCCAACTATTAGTTGTGATGGAGGGACAGAGGGGGTTTCCTCTCAAATTTTTTGCCCAGGGTTGGCCTTGAACCACTGTCCTCTGATCTTTGCCTCCCTCTCAAATAGCTAGGATTGCAGACTTGAGGCACTTGTACCCAACTTGTTCTGTTGATTTTTGTGACCCATTGCAGTCTGCTATTTAGAAAACTGCTTCAAATAATCTGACCTTCATGCAAGGCAGTGATGGGATCCTGGGAAAATCTTCCCCATTTAAATATTGCTTTTGGGCTCAAGAAACTCCCTTCTGCCTCCCCCTTCCGCTAACCAGAGCACTTCTCTCTAGATCCTGCCCATCCTGTCTGTTCTCAGTTCTTCCTGGAAGGTTAGGAGGTCACCACCCAGTGATAAGTGCTGAGCACTTAGTCACTTGCTTATCATTCCTAGCTCTATGAAGGAAGCAGGTGCCTAGAACCTTCACAACTGTTCTGTGAAGACACTTGGGGACTTTTTTTTTTTCATTATAGCTGAGGTTTGCACTCAAGGTGTCACACTTGTAATGCAGGTGCTCTACCATTTTGAGATACACCTACAGTCTACAGTCCATTTTATTCTGGTTACTTTTTCTTTCTTTCTTTTTTTTTTTTTTAGTGGCACTGGGGTTTGAACTCAGGGCCTCATGCTTGCTAGGCAGGCACTCTTACTGCTTGAGCCACTCCACCAGCCCACTCTGGTTACTTTTTGAGATAGGGCCTCAGGAACTATTTGCCTGAGCTGGCCTCAAACCATGATCCTCCTGATCTCAGCCTCCCAAGTAACTAGGAATATAGGTGTGAGCCACTGGTGCCCAGCTCTCACCTTACATTTTTGAATCATTTCTCAGTTTATAAAATGTTTCTCTGTAGGTGATGCCATCAGTCCTCTAACCCCCACTGAGGTGGTCAGGGATTATTATCCTGACTTGGCCTGTATACAAACACAGGCTCACACCAAGACTGCAGTGTTGATGAGTGTGGAGCTGGGTTTTGACCTCTGGCATCTTCACTCCCGGCTGCCCCAGTCAGCCATCCCCAGCCCCACTGGTCATTTACAGCCTTGTTTTTCCATGGGGAGCTGTGTTCTGGGAGACAGGCAGTGTATGAGAGAGGCCTCCCTTCACAGACCACAGAACTCTCTCTGGACTTATTTCCAGGACGGCCTGGCTTTATTGCACTGCGCAGCCCAGAAAGGTCATGTGCCTGTGCTGGTGTTCATAATGGAGAACCTGGAGGATGTAGCCTTGGGCCATAAAGACAAGGTGAGCCCCACCACAAAGCTGCCGGCCCCTCCCATTGGCTGGGATTCCTGGGACCCTTCCTGCTCACTGCCTTACTACATCCTGGTAGGCATCTTTTGATCTGTGGACAGACTGTGCCTACTAGAGTGGAGGATGTCAGGGCACAGATGGTTGGATACAAGCAGACCATGGCCATTTGCCTCAGAGTGGCCCTGATCACAGACTAGATGGCTTAGAGAAGGGAGCACTGCTTCCTGCTTCCCAAAAGAGTTGGCATTTGGTGAAGGCACTGGAGTTGGAGTAAGGTTGGGAAAGGGCAGAAAGCACCACTGGAGCTTCAGAGGCAGGAAAGCACCCTAGTGTGTGAGTTCAATGGATCGAACTCTTGGGAGGGAAGGCCAGAAGGGACTGGGGATCCTTGTGGCCATTTTAGCAATCAGGGAGCCTTAGCAATCAGGCCTTAGCAACCAGGGAGCCACCAAAGGATGGCAGTGGGAGAGGGGACCTCCTCCCCAGGAGGCTGTTGTTGGGAAAGTGTGTGGGGTGAAGGGTGGTAGAACAGCCTGGGCTGGAGAGGCCGCTGCAAACCAGAGTGGTGGGAAGCAGAGGCCAGGGCAGGAAGCCCACTGACAGTCAGGGTGAGGAGTCTCACTGTCCCTTTCCTCCCGGCCAGCTGGGAAGGACTGCGTTTCACAGGGCTGCTGAGCACGGGCAGCTGGATGCTCTGGACTTCCTCGTGGGCTCTGGCTGTGACCACAGTGTCAAAGACAAGGTACTGTGACTGTGAGACACTCTGGGCTCCTTACCTAGCAGAACGACCTGCCACCTTCCTGGCACTGGCACCTCATCTGTGCCTGAGTCTGACTCCAGCTGTGCTGAAGGAGCATGTAACCAAAAGACCAGAGTCAGATGGGCATCCAGCAGGCACTTTAGCGGATCATTCCTATGCTATGGGTTGGGATTCAAAGATATCCGAGGTACAGTTTCTTATTCAAGGAAATTCACACCACAATCCTAGAAAAAAAGCTACGATCTGAACTGGGGTTGTGGCTCAAGCAGTAGCAAGATTAAGGCCCTGAGTTCAAACCCCAGAACCTAAAAAATAAAAGAAAGCAGTGACCTGATGTGGTAAACCAAAATGACAAATCTGATTGGTTGGGGTGCTGCCTAGAGTGGGTTGAGCAGGGTTCCACTGTGCTGTGTAGCTGAAATATGGAGAAGAGTTAGGGTGTCAGTACACACCTGAGGATATTTGTCTTCGTGATCTGTGCTCTGCCATGACTGGGCAGCAGAGTGCTTTTCTGCAGATCTCACCAACGTGAGAATGGGGGAGGAAGGGGGAATCAAGGGGTCACCCTGTAAATGATTCAGTGGGCTGTAGCAAATCACGGGACAAACGTTGTGGCAAATTCTAAACAATGCTTTCCACAGAGGGAGGAGCCTCTTATTAATCTCCTGATTAATACAAGGGTATTCTTCTTAAGACGAGTGACCAGGAGAGAAGGAGCTGTGTTTATGGGGTTGTAACAGAGCGCTCGCAGAAAAATGCACCCCACGATCTTAGTGCTGGAAGGCCTTCATTAGGGCCAGTGCCACCTTCTTACTTATAGAGCCATGAAACTTGAGGCCCAAAGGGGAGGCCTTTGCCAAGGCCACATAACAAGAGAAAGGTGGTGCAGGGCCTGGACACAGCATCCTGATGCAACCTGTGTGCTCCTCCCTCTGTCTAGGCTGCCTCCAGAACACTTGACCCCCTTGGGGAATGCACTGGATCAGCTAGCTCACACTCATCCTTTGAGGACAAAAAGGCTAAGTTTGATCTTGAGACTGAAGTCCTATTTCCTTCATTCTGGAAACATGGGCTGAGCAGGTCTGCTCTGTCACAGACCTTGGCCATAGAACTGGGAATGCAGAGAGGAGAAAGGACAGGACAGACTTGCCCAGGAGGCAAATATGATCAGATCTCTGGGCCTCAGGAGAGCAGAGGAGAAACCCCCAGCTGTGATGAACACATCTGGAAGTCCGCAATCAGGAATTACAAGAAGCAACTTCTAGAATTGCATGACCCTGTTAAGTTCTGTATTTTCAGATTAGAAGTGTTTTCATTTTGAAATTCATTTGGGGTGTAGCACAATCAGCTTTTCAAGGTTTGGGCCATTGAAGGTCTGACTGCTGCTAGGACCCAGTGGCCTGCCAAGGATAGACGGTCAGAGCCAAGGACAACACAGGTCATACCATACCTGCTGAAATGTTAGGGAGTTCTAGAGAGCCAAGAGAGAGAGTTCTTAATTCCACTTGGAGTGGCCATGTGTTGTTGATGAGGCCTCACAGAGGTGAAGATGCTGGATGTCCCCCAGGTAGAGGGAAGAGGGCATTCGGCCCTAGGCCAAGGCCACCATCTGCCCAGTCCTCCTGCCTCTGAGACCCCTGCCCTGTCTCTGATAGGCAGTTCTTGTTGACATCTGCAGTTTCAAAGGGAATGACATGAGTATTTATAACCCAGATGGATGAAGAAAGCCTGGCAGCTATCCACCCTTGTTAACTAGGGTGCATACTAACCCCTCACCTGTCACCTGCATCCTTCTGTCTCTCTACACAATGTGTCCTGCAGCACCACCTAAGCCACTGTGCACCTGTCTGCAGCAGGGAGGGGAGGAGCTATAGAGAGGGATTTAAAATTTATTAATACAATATCACAATGATCAAAAAGGAAATTTAAACATTTCATCTTTAGTTCCATAGCATAGCTATATCTGCCTTATATGTGTGAATTTTTCGTTTGGAGGATATGTTTTTAACTTTTTTTGATGGTTAGGATCAAACCCAGGGCTTCTACCACTGAGCCATAGGCCCAGGTCCTGTTTTTCAATATTTTAAGCCCTGCTCTGGCTGTGGTGTGCGTTTCCTCTATAGTGGGCTGTTGGCATCTGTGCTAAATGTGGCTGTTGGGAGGCATTGAGATGGGCCAGGAGGGAGGGGAGTGCTTGAGCTAGGAGCTTCTCCCCTCCCCCAGTTCAGCTAAGTGCCAGGGGCTGTTTGGACATGTGAGCCACCAAAACTGGGCCTCCCTTCTGATGGTTTGTGGGTTCCTCAGAATCCTTGCTCTGGTCCTCCATTGTGTTTCTTTTTAGGGTTGTACCTTTTCTTTGCCCAGCCACTTCCAGCTCCCTTCCCTTTTATGGGGCTCCTTTATCCCTCCATGTGCTCTCTGCAGTAAGACCCCTGTAAATGCCACCCCTAGCAGGCTGACCTCAAAGGGAATTCTCCTTCTCTTCTTCCTCCTCTTCCTCCTTCTCCTCCTCCTTCTCTTCCACTTTGCTCTCCCTCTTCCCCTCCCTTTTGAGTGTCTTGCTATGTCAAACTCCCGGGTTTAAAAAAATCCTCCTGCCTCAGCTTCCCAAGTGCTGGCACCACAGGCACACACCACAGTACTCAGCTTTGGAGGGTCCACTTCTAATACAAAGACATTGTGCCCATTACCCGGCCCAATGGAGCCACCTCTCTGGGCTCAGTCACTGTCGCCTTTAGACTTCCCAAGCTCTCTACGCTGTCCTCAACAGCCCCTCTCACATTACTGACTCATTGAACAATTATCTACCGAGTGTTTGCCATGTGCCCAGGCCTTATTCTAGGTACTGGGGAAAACTTCCAAGAACAAAACAGACAGACCTTGCTGTCCTCGTGGCGCTTATGTTCTAGCACAGAGTCAGACAATGGAGGACAAGTTCTGTGCACATCAGTGACAAGTGTGTCGAAAGGTGACCAGTGCTGTGGGATACAGAAAAAGGAATGCACAGCAGCAGGGGTCAGGAAGACAGACCTGGGGAACTGCAGGTGCAAAGAGCATGGTCAGGTGGCCATACCACTCTGAGAGAAGAAGCTGATGTCTCTAGCAGAGGCTTGAAGGAGGCTGGAGGCTGAGCCACACAGCTGCTGGAGCCAGCTGAGCCCAGGGTGTTACCGGAGTCCAGTCCTTGACAGTGGAGGGTACAGATCTGGGGAAGCTGAGTAGGGACTGGCTTTAGATGGGCATATGGAAAATAAGGTTTGTTTTATTTTGTCATTATTTATTTGTCTATTTTTTGTACTCAAGATTGAACTCAGGGTCTTATACTTACTGTTTTAGTCTTTAAGTAACGTGCTGCTTTGAAGTGTAAGGAAGGAGACTAGGGCTTCAATCTTATGAGTGCCCGAGTTGTAGTGTTTGGTACAGTTCTTGGGGACAGGGTGGCATTGGCCTAGCTTGTCACAGATTTTCTCCATGACTTTGAACCTGTCCCTTCTACTCCCTGGGCTTCAGCTGCTGTGTCTGTGAATGAGGGGCAGCCCTAGCACAGTCCTGTGAGGCCATGTAATTCTGGGGCCCTGTGTCTGCCAGCCCCTCAGGCACCCTTCTCCTGCAGGAGGGGAACACAGCCCTTCACCTGGCTGCCGGCCGGGGCCACGTGGCTGTGCTGCAGCGACTTGTGGACATCGGATTGGACCTGGAGGAGAAGAATGCAGTGAGTCACCACCTGGAAAACAAGGAGATGTGTCGCTCTCTCTCACTTCCTGCCTTCGAGGAACCCCTGGCCCTTGGTGCTATCTGATTTTCACCTGGTAGAGGCCTGAAGCCAGTTGGCTAAGGAAATGTCCTCACACTGTCACCAACCAGGAAAAGACAGGCAGTAGCCCAGAACCCAGGCTGAGTGGGTGCGAAGCAGGACAGGTTCCCAGGATGTCATGCACAAGATGTATGTGCCACAGAAGGAGAAGGCACCAGCCCAGATGGCCAGGGATGGCTCCCTGGAGAAGGAGGGACTGAATGAGGGGCCGAGAGGGCTTGAAGGGCGGGGAGCAGAGACATGGAGTGGGGCCAGCGTGTCATGTGCACTCCCCACAGCGAGAATGCCAGGTGCAGGTGCATCCCAAGCCCCAGCCTTGTCAGCAGGCAGCGGACAGCTCAAGGATCCACAGCCATGGCCCAAGGGCAAGCTCTCCCCTCAGGGTCTGACTCAGCATCCCCACATCCTCACCTCTGTCCCCATGTGTTGCAGGAAGGCCTCACCGCCCTGCATGCGGCTGCAGAAGGGACCCACGCCGACTGTGTGCAGCTCCTCCTCAGAGCTGGCAGCAACGTGAATGCCCTCACCCAGGTAGCCTGGCCTCCCTCCCCTGCTGAGCTCTGTGACCTGGGACAAGTTACTTACCTTCTCTGAGCCCTTTTTCCCAACTATAAAATAGGATGATATCTGCTTACCTTTTTACATTGCTGAGGATTAAATACCTAGCACAGAGCTCGGGACATAACAGGAGTCATCTTAGTGTTGGACACTTGATAATTCACAAAGCCTCCTTTTAGCTATGGCCTCAGAAAAATGCACCTATTTTACAGATGAAGCTTAGAGAGGCTTTTTCTCACACTCTTGTAAGAAGCAAAGCTGTGAGTCTCAAAATCCTGTTCCCCTGACTGCAAGGCTTTCACCCACTAGTGGACATGTTCCCTGACATGGTGACAAGAACAGACAAGGGCCTCATGCCTCTCCTTCCTCCTCCACCTCCTTCCCCTCCTCCTTCTGTTCCTCCTCCCCCGACCCCCTTCTTCTCCTTCCAGTACTGGGGATTGAACCCATGGTCTCACACATGCCAGGCAAGCACCTTATCACTGAGCCACACCTTCCCTGCCCCTGTGCTGCTTTATCTTTTGGCAGAAAAGTGGAGCGGTGAGAGAGCCCACAGGAAACAGGAAAAACACGAGGGGTGGTCTCGCTTTATGACAACGCTTTGGTGATAAATAATCCAGTCCCACTAGAAACATCTCTCTCAACCACTAACACCTCTCAAAGCCCCCCCCCCACCTCATGGCAGTCAATTTCAGAGGGGACAAACTGTGTTCAACCCATAGCACCAATAAGTCACAAAATATGTAATTTGCACAAATATGAGAACAACTTCCCCAGCAGGGTCACTAGGGCAGGAGCTGCCCCAGGACACTCAGCATTGGTATGGTATCACTCTTTGGTGAGCAAGGTCCTTTCCCTGTCCTTTGGGCAAAAGGACATGGTGACCTCTCTCACAGTAACAGAGCTAGGAATCTGGAGTTGGAGAGGTCACTCCAGCTGGGTGGACCTTGTGTGTTGGAAGCTGCTCACTGTCCTGGTCCTTGTGGTCAAGCCCAGCCCTGAGGTTTCTGATAGAGGCCACTTCCATTCGACACTTCTACCCCTCAGAGAGTCTTCCAGCAGGGTCTCTGAGGAGGGTCAAACCCAAAGTGACCATACTTCTTACTGAAAGGTGGAAAGGAGCCAGGTGCACTGGCTCACTTGGGACTTTGGCAGGGTGACCCACTCATTCCCAGTTTCCCATCACTGTCTGGTTTGGTTCCAAGGTCCCTTCATCTGGCACACTGGGACAGCTGGTCACTCAAGTGGGGTCTGCCTGCTGTGAGGCCCATGAAAAATGATCACAGGCCCAGAGTGGGCTGACTGAGGAGAGCACTTAGTCTCACCCGAAGTCAAGCCCTCCACTCCAGCCTGTAGGCTCCTGTCCAGACATGCGGACAGCAGCTGCAGCTGAAATCACGTGCCAGGTGGACCATGCCCTGTGGTTCTGGCCATTCTCAATGGTCCTCATGAAACTATCTCTTGAACGTCTACCATCTGTGTGTCTTTGCCAGCCAAGGAGTTTGGCAGGTTTTGGTCTGTGTGTCAGAGTCTATAACATGAGATGAGGAAAAGGCTGGGACCATAGTGGGCTCTTTTCATAGTCACCAGGCCTGGGCACATCATTGTGCCAGGGGCTTGTTAGACTCAGATGGATATGAATCCCAAAGTGCCATGTCACTGCCAGTATGAGGGGTCCTTGTGACATCACACTGATGCCTGTTTCCTTCTAGAAAAAGCGAAGCTGCCTCCACTACACGGCCCTTGGTGGCTCTGAGGACGTATCCCGGGCCCTTGTCCACGCGGGAGGCTGCACCAACGTGGCTGATCATGTAAGTGTGGGGGCCTGGATTGAGGGGCCCCCTATGGCAGACTGCCATGACTGCACTGATGAGGCACAGCAGGGAGAAATGGACACTTCTGGCCTTTGGGGTTGGGTGGAGTTGAGACCAGGGCACCTGCAAGTAGGTGTCAAATAGTGTGTTCTGGCTTGAACAAGACCAAAACCACCCAGCGTTTTCTCCTGGCTGACTGATCTCCTCATATTAATCTTTTCTATAACTGAACTGGCCTCTTAGTTCATTTTTTTCTGGTTAAGGTACATTTGGTCACACACAGAGACAGTGTAATCCTGTGGGTAAGGCATAGACTTTGGTTGTGCATGGTGGTTCACACTTGTAATCCCCAGCACTCCAGAGGCTGAGGCAGGACGATTATGAGTTGGAGGCCAACTTGGGCTACATAGTGAGACTGTCTCAAAACAAACAAACAAACAAAACCAGACACAGACTTGGTTGTCAGACAACCTAGTTTGAACCCTGGCACTATCCTTTACAACAAAATAACCTGGGGCAAGCTGCTTTGAGCCCCCTGGGCCTCTGCTTTTGTATCTGTATGAATGATTATTCTTCCTGTTATGTAAATGAGGAAACATCCATTGTTTAATTAGAAAGGGGTCATTTATTATAAGTAAACCAGGCACTGGTGGCTCATGCTTATAATCCAAGCCACTAGGGAGGCAGAGATTGAGAGGATCACAGTTTAAGGCAGCTTGGGAAATAGCTCATGAGACTGCATCTCAACTAGTAGCTAGACATGGGGGTGCATGCCTGCCATCCCAGTTCTGTAGAAGGCTGAGATAGGGAGGATCACAGTCCCAGACTAGCCCAGGAAAAACCATTTGAGAGACCCCATCGCAATGGAGAAAAGCTGGGTGTCGCAGGCATGCCTGTCATGCTAGTGACAGCAGGGAGCATAAAATTGGAGGATTGCAGTCCAGGCTGACCTGGGCAAAGTGAGACCCTATCTCCAAAATAACCAGAGCAAACAGGGCTGGAGGCATGGTTCGAGTGTAGAGCACCTGCCTAGCAAGCTCGAAGCCCTGAGTTCAAATCCCCATGTTGGCAAAATAAACAAACAAATATAATGATTATATAAACAATGCAGTACAGTTCATTGGAATGCAGGAAAAACACGTCCTTGACCCCCAGTCTCTAGGAGAGCAATGGCTTTCTTTGTTTCCCGGGTTCCTCCCACAAGCTTCGTAGCACCTCCCACTAAAAGAATCCAGGCTGAGAGCGATTTGGGGGAGGTTATGTTTTCTGTTTTCCCCATCAAGACACCAGAGTCCTGACTCCAGTCCATGCCTCTCTGCAGCCCAGGAAGACATCAGTCCTCCTATTACTCTTGATTAATGACAGCTGTGGTCCCAAGACCACATACCCTTTTCTTAGCAGTCCCCCAACTGTTGGACATTTAAGTTTTTTCCAATTTTGCTACAATAAATAGTGATTTCTTGAACATGCTTATGGAAGCTAAGTTTGAATTTCCTTTGCATTATATTTGTGTTATTTATTTATTTTGGTGGTACTGGGATTTGAACTCAGAGCTTTGAGCTTGCCACACAAGTGCTCTACCACTTAAGCCATGCTCCTGATCCTTAAAATTTAGATCAGCATACAAGAGGCCCTGGACTCAATCCCTAGTACGATCAAACTTATCTAAATCTTGTAACAAAATTAACTTGAAAAACCATTAAAGGAAGCTGGCTCTGGGCTCACGCCTGTAATCCTAGCTACTCAGGAGGCAGGACCAGGAGGATCATGGTTTGAAGCCAGCCTGGGCAAACAGTTTGCAAGACCCTATCTTCAAAAACCCTTCACTAAAAGGCTGGTGGAGTGACTCAAGGTTGAAGGCCCCTGAGTTCAAATTCCTAATACTCAAAAGATTAATGAATTAATTAATGGAAATTAATTCCTTTAATTAAGGAATTAAATCATTTTTATATTCATAATGTACATTAACCAATAGCACAAACTATTTTGCCCTTAATATTGCTAATTTTGTTGAAAGAGGAGAGTTAAGCAATAAATAGGAAGGACAAAGGGTTTTTGCTGGTGCTGAGATTAAGGATAGCTATACAGGTCATTGACCTAACATTGATTTCCTGTGCATGTGGTTACCTTCTAGGTTAATTCTTTTGATCTAACCTTTTCTCTAGTTTCCTGTTCCCCCTTCTCCTATTGGCCTCAGTTGCTTTAAGGTAGGTCGCTTAGTTTCTCTGTTAAGGGCAACCAAAATGCTTAGCTAGGTTTTTTAGGTGTCTTACCTATCCTCACCCCTCCCTTGTGTGCTCTCGCTTTTATTCATGTTGCTCAAAGTTCCAATCCCCTTGTTGTGTTTGCCCTTGACTAATGTCCACGTATGAGGGAGAAACATACGATTTTTTGGTCTTTTGGGCCAGGCTAACCTCACTCAGGAATGATGTTCTCCATTCCATCCATTTACCAGTGAATGATAACATGTTTCGTTCTTCTTCATGGCTGCATAAAATTCCATTGTGTATAGATACCACATTTTCTTAATCCATTCGTCGTGGGGGCATCTTGCTTTTCCATAACTTGGCTATGTGAATAGTGCCTGCAATAACATGGGTTGTGCAGGTGCCTCTGGAGTAACCTGTGTCACAGTCTTTTGGGTATATCCCCAAGAGTGTATGCTGATCAAATGTAGATCATGTCTAGCTTTTTAAGAGCCTCCAAATTTTTTTCCAGAGTGTTGTACTAGTCTACATTCCCACCAACAAGTGTAAAGAGGGTTCCTTTCTTCCCGTATCCTCGCCAGACACCTTTGTTGGTGTGGTGTTAGCTAATGATGGCTATTCTAACAGCGGGGTTGAGTAGAATCTTAGTGTCGGTTTTAATTTGCATCATTCCTTATATTGCTAAGAGATGGTGAGGCATTTGGAATTTGTTGGCCATTTGAATTTCTTTTCTATTGAGAAAGTTCTGGTTTAGGTCCACCTTGCCCATTTCTGTATTGGTTCATCATTTGGGAGGAATTTAGTTTTTTGAGTTCCCTATATATTCTGGTTATTCAGTCCTTTGTCTTGATGTGTAGCTGGCAAATATTTTCTCCATTCTGTGGGTATTCTCTTCAGTTTAGAGACCAAATCTTTTGTTGAAGCAAGAAGCTTTTTAGTTTATGAGTCCCTTATACTATGCTATCTCTTAGTTGCTGAGCTGCTGGGGTTTCATTGAGAAAGTTCTTACCTATACCTACTAACTCCAGAGTATTTCCTACTCTTTCCTGTATCAACTTTAGATTTGTGGTCTGATATAAGATCCTTGATCCATTTTGAGTTAATCTTGGTATAGGGTGATTATACACGGATCTAGTTTCAGTTTTTTGCAGACTGCTAACCAGTTTTTCCCAGCAGTTTTGTTGAAGGAGGCTGTCTTTCTCCATCGTATATTTTTAGCCCCTTTGTGAAAGACAAGTTGGTTATGTTGTGTGGCTTCATATCTGGGTCCTCTATTTCTGTTCCACTGGTCTTCATGTCTGTTTTTGTGCCAGTACCTGCTGTTTTATTGTATTGCTTTGTAATATAGTTGAAGTCAGAATATCGTGATACCTCCAGCGTTGTTCTTTTACTGAGTATTGCTTGGCTATTGTGGCCTCTTGTGTTCCATATAAATTTAATGGTAGATTTTTCAATCTCTTTGATGAATGTCATTGGGATTTTGATGGGAATTACATTAGACATGTAGATTACTTTTGGGAGTATAGACATTTTTACTATGTTGATTCTACCAATCCATGAGCATGGGACATCTCTCCACTTTCTATAGTCTTCCTCAATCTCTTCAGAAGTTTATAATTTTCCTTGTAGAGGTCGTTCACATCCTTTGTTTACACCTAGGTATTTGATTTTTTTTGAGGCTATTGTAAATGGAATTGTTTCCATATATTCTTTTTCAGTTTGTTCATTATTAGTGTATAGAAATGCTAATGATTTTTCTATGTTGATTTTATATCCTGCTACCTTGCTGTAGCTATTGATGGTGTCTAGGAGCTTCTGAGTAGAGTTTTTTGGGTCTTTAAGGTATAGGATCATGTTATCTGCAAATAGGGATATTTTGACAGTTTCTTTACCTATTTGTATTCCTTTTATTCCTTCTTCTTGCCTAATTGCTTGGCTAGGAATTCCAGTACTATGTTGAATAGGAGTGGAGATAGTGGGCATCCTTGTTTCGTTCCTGATTTTAGAGGGAATGGTTTCAGTTTTTCTCTGTTAAGTATAATGCTGGCTGTAGGTTTGTCATATATAGCTTTTATAATGTTGAGGTACTTTCCTTCTATTCCTAGTTTTCTTAGAGCTTTTATCATGAAATGGTGTTGGATCTTATCAAAGGCTTTTTCTGCATCTATTGAGATGATCAAGTGTTTTTTGTCTTTGCTTCTGCTAATGTGGTTTATTACGTTTATTGATTTTTGTATGTTGAACCACCCCTGCATCCCTGGGATGAAGCCTACTTGGTCGTGGTAAATGATCTTTTTGATGTGTTGTTAAATTTGGTTTGCCATTATTTTATTGAGGATTTTTGCATCAATGTTCATTAAGGAGATTAGCCTATAGTTCTCCTTTTTGGAGGTGTCTTTGCCTGGTTTTGGGATAAGTGTAATACTGGCTTCATAAAATGTGTTTGGCAGTTTTCCTTCCCTTTCTATCTGTGGGACAGTTTAAGAAGGGTTGGTATTAGTTCTTTTTTAAAGGTCTGATTGAATTCAGCAGAGAATCCATCAGGTCCTGGACTTTTCTTTTTAAGGAGGAGACTCTTGGTTACTGCTTCAATTTCATTTTGTGTTATAGATCTTTCAGGTGATTAATATCCTCTTGGTTCAGTTTTGGATGATCATAAGTATCTAGAAATCTGTCCATTTCTTTAAGATTTTCGAATTTATTGGAATATAGGTTCTCAAAGTAGTGTCTGATGATTTCTTGGACTTCCATGGTTTTTGTTGTTATTTCCCCTTTTGCATTCCTGATTTT